ATGCTGCTTGTGTGCTTCGTGTGCACTGCAGAAGGCGCCAGCTTCGCCCAAACAAGTGAGTTAGGGGTCCTGTTGCTGCTGGTACAGCGAACTGCGCTGCAGCTGGTGGAGATATCGCGAGCCATGGGGGGTAGTAGTAACTCCGGTTTAGTCAACTTCTGGCCCGTAGCCACGTTCTCCAGGTCTTCCCTCCCTGCTTGCATGCTTTCGGCTCAGTTTCGCATTGCTGTAGGGAGTCTGCGTGCTGATGTCAGTTGTGTTGTGTGCGTGTGTCTGTTTGTGTTTGCCTCTCTCCAAAGGATGGTGGAATCTCTCGCTGAGGAGTAAGGCATTAAACCCCTTTAACGCCAGCTGTTCCGCATCGCCCCTGTAGAAGGGTTCAGGGGGGCTGGTGTCCACTCATTTCCCTATTTTTCCCCGTACTATTATTAGCTGTCACGGTAGAACGAGTGCTGTCACCTGAGGGGATTTGTGCGACGTTAGTGTTTCGATGGTTTGCTGAGCCCACGCTCAGGAGGGCCACTGATGACTGTGCTCCTGTCTACGTTGCCTTTGTATACATGTGCATGCGATGCGGTGTTGGGGCTGGACAGATATGACGGTGAAGTTTACCGACGACAAGATAAACGATGCTTACATCGAAGCGACAGTGGAGGGATACAGCTCGTACGAGTTGGCAAAGACGGCGGTGTTGACGGTGACGGAGGCAGAGACAGAGCAAGATACGAGCTGCAGCGCGCGGGTGGCCACGACAGAGCCTAGTGTTGGCACATACGCCGGAGAATTCGACAGCGATCAGCGGCTGTTGACCTTTACCTTCCCTGCCCCGACGCTTCGCTCCAAACTCTGTGTCGTCAACCGCATCACCGAGCTCTTCACCGACGTCGTTAGCCTAGGGCAGGCCCCTTTACCCACGCGGCCTGAGAAGGTCACCGCGGAGGAAGCCCGCTGTTCTTTGGCTCCTAAGGGAGATTGCGTCATCGGCCTCTACCCGGATGCACTTACGATTGACCAGCCCTGGGTGAGCGCACTCTTTGTTGCTGCTACCCCACAGCAGGCATGATTTCAGCTGCAAGAGGGCTGGTGGCCTCAATGCAGGGGATTCCGCAGGCTGACATAACCTCGCGGAAGGTCCTTTGACCTTAGCTCGTTCTTTTGCTTTCACTCGAGTATGCATGCATGCACATACAAATGCGGCTGCTTGCGGTTGCTACAGCCAGCATTTTACCCGAACAACGTCGGTGTGAAACTGCTGAGAGGCAAGGTGTCGTGCCCTCTTGATCCTTCGGATC